AAACATCCTGGAGATTGTAGATGATGAAACAGATATTTATCAGTACACAACAGCAAATATGTCTCCACTTCCTTCAAGAGAATATGTGGTCCTAAGGTTAGAAACTATAATAAATTTCCATTTTTTTTGACATCAGCTTTGTTGATCTATGTTTTTTTTACAGTATTATTTGTCATACATATTCTCAGGAAAAAAAATCCTAAAAGATTAAGTTCTAGGCTGCATAAACAGAAGGGTAGAATCAAGATCACATGAAGTATTAATACCATTTTATAATGCCTTGGTAAGGCCACATTTGGAATACTGCATCCAGTTTTGGTCGCTACAGTGTAAACAAGATGTTGAGACTCTAGAAAGAGTGCAGAGAAGAGCAACAAAGATAATTAGGGGACTGGAGGCTAAACACATAAAGAACAATTGATGGAATTGGGTAGGCCTAGTTTAATGACAAGGACTAGGGATGACATGATGACAGTGTTCTGATACTGTATATCAGGGATTGCCACAAAGAAGAAGGAATCAAGCTATTTTCCAAAGCGCCTGAGGGCAGGACAAGAAACAGTGGATGGAAACTAATCAAGGAGAGAAGCAACTTAGAACTAAGGAGAAATTTCCTGACAGATAGAACAATTAATCAGTAGAACTTGCCTCCAGAAGTTGTGAATGCTCCAATACTGGAAGTTTTTAAGAAGATTGGACTGATTGTCTGAAATGGTATAGGGTTTCTTGCCTAAGCAGGTTGGACTAGAAGACCTCCAAGATCCCTTCCAACCCATCCCACCCCATCTTTGAATCTCCCCATCCTACTGATTTAGGTATATTGATTAACGAAGCACAATTGGTTTGTTTGCATATTGCACTAAGGAAAAAACAATTACATCTGACAGGTGTAAAAAACCACAAGGGAATTAAATTTCCAACTTGTAGTGTACTTATTTTTGCTACAAATTAAAAGAGTGTACAGTAAATTTTGTAAATGACAAATTATTAAAATATTGATTACACATAGAAAAGCATTTAAAATTGATAATTTGCAACTATGGTTATGATATCAACTGATCAACAGAAATCTATGATGGTATGGGAAGACAGAATTGACAGATGATTGCATGCATTCTAAACTTTGTCAAGTGGAAAACTTTTAAGAGTTTGTTATCCTGTACATGTTCTGCAAGTCATGTACAGTCTTTGGCAAATTGTTCTACCCATCAGGTAATCATTGTTTTTCTATATGGAGCAGAATTATTGAGCGCTCATCTCAAAATCTCAGTATTTCAAATGAAAATAATATAATCTCAATAGATTGTCTGATTCATCTGATATATTGCAAGATTTGACAGTTTAGTGAGATCTTAGATATTGTTTAAAAGTTTAAGTTAAAAATAGTTTAAGTTTGCAATCCTGTAGGTGCTATGTTGCCAAATCCTGCATTTCTGCTGTTTATAGAAGTTGCAATCTGGATTGGATTTTGCCTATATTTGACACTATTTCACAGACACAGCATATATGTATTGGGAACTATAATTGTTTATTATAAGTACAGTTAGAAAGTTGATATAAATGAAGTGACATTAAAGTGTTCTTTGTGTAGCTAATATGAGTTTAGTTTCCTAAATATAATAGGAAATCATAATCTGAAATGTTCGGGTTTTTTTACTTTATTTCTAGGACTTGGCGGACTGATCCTCAAAGTGGCACATGTATTCTAGCAGCTACCTCAACAGATAACAAAGGTGCTACTGTGAATGGGATTTTGGTTCAAGTCATACTTTACCAGTACCTTATAGAAGTTGTTGCTGGTTCCCAGAAATCCAAAGTAACATACGTTTGTCAAATAGATACCAGGTATTTCTTCTATTCCTTTCCTTGAAACTAAAATTTTACCTATGAAGGCCTTGATACTCTCTGAGCTTAGTTGTTAGTCTGAGGGTATTTCATTACCCACTTTCATAATCATCAGTGTGAGTGAGAGTGAGAGTGTCATGGTGGCAGTATGATTTTCTTGATAGTTCATTATTTATTATATAGTCTGTCTATTTTTGTTACAGAAATATGAATTGTGATTTTTTTTTAAAAATGATTTTATACCAATAGATGTGAAATGACACCCCTCTCCCCCCAAAAGAAGTCAGAAACAAACAATGCTAGTTCCTAATATTGCTTTTTTTTTTTTTGTCAGGGGGCGGACCACAGAATGGTATAAGAGGGCTTTTGGTCATATCTGTGCTGCAGACATGATAAGGATTAAAGATTCTTTCAAAGGATCCCCTTACTGAAATTAAACCAAAGACAACCATTTGATGCTTCTGGAGACGAAGATAGTGCAAGATGGCTTCAGTTACCATTTTCAAATTTGATTAACTGAGAAAGCTGTATATAAAGCTATCAAAGAATTTTAGAAATGAAATTTCAGTGTAAACGTACCTTTCAACTGAATAATTTACACATTATTTTAGTGTTTTGCCAAGAAAATGAAATTATTTTGATTATTTTTTAATTTATTTAAAAGGAACATCTTTTAACAGTCTATTTTAACTGTGTAAATGAGATATATTTTTAGATGTTTTATTGATTGAAAATGTGAAAGCAATAGTAAAATTATATCAGCAGCTTACAGCCTGACCAGCTTTTATGCTGATTTTATTTTTATTATTGTAACATATTAGGAAACAGTGATGCTTGTATAAGAAGCTAAGCTAAGCTAATTACATTATATATATGTTGGTCATAGATTTTTGTATCTTGAGTAGCCACAATAATCTACTTGAGAATGTATACATCCATTTTTAATGCAGGAATTTTTCAATTTGCCTTATAAGACACGCTCAAGGCAATGTTCAAAGCAGAATAGGCACTTTAAATGGAAAATGTTTACTTTTGGGAAATAATCGAGGACTAACTACATAGTGATACATGGAGCTGAAAACACTAGATTCAAATTCTGTATTTACTTAGTATGCCCAGTTTTCATTTATTTGTTTTTTTTTATATTGAAAAATGCAGTTAGACTGACTTGAAGATAATCTCAATTTTTTTTAAAAAAAATCCATGAGTAGCTTTCATTTACCATACTGGATGAAAAAAATTTTGAATGAGAAATTGATTCAGACAACTACTAGCTTTACATACATGCTAAACCAGTTTGTATCTGCTATGCAAAACATAGCAAATTATATTGTGGCATTGTGCCGAATCATTGGCATAATCTTACTCCTCTACAATGATTTTTTCTAACCACTCCACTTCTGTCTAATTGTCTTTTCTCACTCGTTCCAGTACAATGGAACTTTGATCTTGGACATTTTGTGTAGCTCTTTAAAGATTTTTTTCTTCATTTATGAAATAAGTTACCCCAAGTTTGCCAGTAACTTTTGGCATGCAGATTGCATTTTTTACCTCTAGCTCCACAAGCTTAAAAAATATTTCTCAAAGTATTATAGAATTAGTATTTTTATTACTTGCTATAAAATATACTGTTTTTCCAGTTGCATAAGCCTGTAATCCACAATTCCTAATTAATGGATAGTTTCTAACAAAAAGTCCTAACATTACAGTTAGCTTGATAGGTAATCAATCACATTAAGATACATGACTGCCCAGTGTGTGTATACAGTAACAAGGGATTTTTTTTAAAAAAACCACCCTGCTAATTCAAGTGAATATCTGCCCTATTTTTGGTGACACCTCACACCTGTGTCACAGCCCATCCTATTCAGGATGTTCAATGTTCATTTTTACAGTGGCGTTTTGTGCAGCTGCTTGCAGGAAATGCCAATACCAAGCTCACCTTGATGGATCTTAAAAATATAGTTAATATATGGATGGAGGGTGGTCACACTGAGAAACTGAAAAATATATAAACAAACAAATAAATCTGGAGAAGGCAGGGGAGAACTACTACTCTATTTTGTGTGTTTTCATGCAGTTAGTAACGATTTTAAATTCGGTATTTTCCTCAGTCTGCCAAGCCATCTGATGTGTTATAGCACAAAATGATTTTTTAAAAACATAAAAGCTGGTTGCAGCATTCCACTTGGGTACTCTATTTTGTGCTATATTTTATACATACTGCCATCCGTGCTATTTTGTTAGGGTGTTGTAAATATTTAGCTAACCCTTAATTGTATACTTGATGTAGATATTTATATACTATTATAATAACACATACATTTCATATTAATATGACATTCTACAAGCCCTTCAGTGAACGAAATGTTTATTACAACTATTTTTACTAGGCATTTCATTATTGCTTTCATTAGGAATAACTAAGTGGCCAAATTGATTTATTTGTGCTGATAAAAGGTGCCTTTTTTGAAAAGACATTTTGTGTAATAATGCTAGCCATTGTAAAAGAAGTCTTCTGTATTTCTACTATTATATATTTCCAACAACAAAAAAACCTCTTGCCAGATGGTATCAATTTACAAATCTTTAGATATGGAGAGCTGGTGAATGCTAATATTTAGCAGCTAAGTAGCAATTTTAGTTATAGAAAAGGGGGAGGGGAGAGGAGGAAGAAAATAATATATTTAATATTATTGGTACTTTAAGTTTAACATGTTGAACATGCTGCAGTATTTTACTTTTCATCCACTTGTATTGTCAAAATAACTGGTAAAAATTGTTCACATGCTTGATTTATTGACAATGAACCTTTAATAAAAAGGTGAAGCGCTTCGTCACTTCAGTATTGATGTGTGTAGCACAGGTAACTTTGTTCGTATTTTATAACACTGTATGTTTTCAATTTCTGCAACATATGACTTGGTAAACTATCAGAAAGAGCTAGATGATCCCTTTTTCATTTAGAATCGCACAAGCCTGACGTAAATATTCCATTTTACTGAGCTCAAACATGACAAATTTATGCAAATTTTAAAATGCATACAGATTGTCTCTGCATATAACTTTTGTGGCTGAAAAGACATCTAACTTGGTGAAACACAACTGCAAGCACTCTGGCCCCATAAAAAAAAAAAAAAAGAGAGAAAATCCAATCTGAGTATCTGTTATTTTTATTAAGTTCTAATCCTGGCAAGGAAAAAAGAAACTGTTTATCCTTTGCTTCTAACAGTTTTTAAAAGTCATTTTAATTACATTTTTTGGACAGGCTTGATTCCCAAGATAGCAAAACCTTTGGCCATCACAGCAGCTGTTGCTTCACACAGGAGCATTCGCCACATGTTCACATTCACTATTTCACCTAGATACAAAACAGACACAGCACAAAAATAAATATTAGATGCAGCCCTTTCAGAAATACATATTTTGGCTTTTTTACAGATTCAATAACACAACATTATGCAGGCAGTTATAATCAGTTCCTGTTAATTTATCACATATTAAGTTTAAGAACAGTCTACAGGTAGTTCCTGCCTTACAACCATTCATTTAGTGACCATTCAAAGTTATAACAGCACAGAAAAAAGTGACTTATGACCAGTGCAGCAGCCCCATGGTCATGTGATCGAAATTCAGGTGCTTGGCAACTGACTCATATTTATGACTGTTGCAGTGTCCCGAGGTCATATGATTTCCTCTTGCAACCATCTGACAAGCTAAGTTGATGAGGAAGCCAGAATCACCTAACAACCTCATTACTAACTTAAAAACTGCAGTGATAAAAAAGGTAAAAAAGATAAAAAAGGTAATAAAAAAGGGGCAAAACCCTCTCAACTATTTTATTTAGCAATAGAAATAGTTGTTTGGGCTCAATCGTGTTCTTAAGTCGAGGTCTATCTGCAGTACTCTACTTTTGTGATGATTCTGTTCAAATTTTTGTATCCATAAGAGATCCAATGCATCTATAATTTAAATTCAGTCTATCCAACCATGTATTTATTTTGCAATCATGGCAGGATTTTTTCAAAGGATTTATAATTTTATTTGTGGTATTAATAAATACCTTTCTAAAATAGAAAATTGAAAGCATATTTAGCACAAAAAGTCTCATTTTTCAGTATGAGGTTCTATCCAACATGGTTTGAAAGGAAAGATTTTCACAAATCTTTGTATTTATTGAGTTGTCAAACTTGGGGCGCAGTGGTGGTATTCTACCGGTTCAGCCTGGTTCTGCTGAGCCAGTAGCGGCGATGAGCAGCAGAGACCGAACTGGTTCTCTCCGCCGCTCTGCTACTGGGCCCACGCAACCATTTGGGCTCCCATATTCACCATTATCCTCTGCTTTTGAAGTGCAGCTGCTTTGTGCGGCAGATCAGAGTGCCACGCGACAGCTGGTGAAGCTACTGGGAGAGTGCAGGCTTGCAGGAGGTTGAGCTGGAATGCCTCTGCGCCTGCACAAACTCCTCTGCATCTGCGCCAAGTGCATGTTTGGCACCCGCGTGGACACAAAGTGTGCGCACATGCACAAAGCGTGCCCCCCAAGCCATATCCAGCAAACCGATGGTAAAACTTTTTGAATCCTATCACTGTTGGGGTGTCACACAATTGTCCCACTTTACTTTCAAAATACTAAGGTGTAACTCACCAGTTTGTCTATCCTTTTCCACACAATAACAGTTATCATAGAATTCAGTAAATGTGGTGGCTAGCTCATAGAGGTAGTCGCAGAGAGTGTGCAGTAAAAGGTCATCTAAGCACTTTTGGATGATTTCAGGAAACCTCAAAATGCATTTGCCTAGTTTCCATTCTTTTTCATGATCCAGTATGATCTCTGTTGTTCCAGCTGCCTTTTGTAGTTTATCCTCACTGATATTAGCCACTCTTGCTATAGATCTGTCACAGAAATAAACCTTAGATTAGATGCCAAGGGATCAAGCCTTCTTTCTCTAGAAAAACATCTTTATTTGCAGTCCCCCAAAAGATTGTGTGACGCAAGAACAAAGACATAACAAATTACTGACTTACCCCAAAAGGATGGCTAGCTATTATGCATCGTTTTGACAATATTGTTAAATACTGCTTCTTAAAATATAGAATTGCGTCTTGAAAGGTGCACTTTGAAAATGCTGTAAATTCTGTAGCAGAAAGGATGCCTGAACTTGGGGATGGAGTGAAAATAAGGATCACTCCAAGAATCCCTACATAACCACAAGACAAATAAGTCCAATACTTGGAGAGATGTTGACCCATAGTCTGTTGCCCCTGTTGCCCCTTAGGTCCAACCAGGTGCTGACCTTAGTTGAGAATATTGCTATGCATTGGGCAATAAATCAATTTAATTTAACTTTCACAAGTTGAACTGATGTTTCATATCTGACAAGTCCCGAGTTAATGTAAACCCTGTATAAGCTACACCAGCCACTTTAGGCATCAATTGCTCTATAAAAATAATGGAGCAAGGTATCAAACAACCACATGTGAATCATCTTGAGTTCTTATGCAAGATCTCATGAATACACATTAAAAATTCCTTAAAATAAGCCACATATCTTCCTTAGCCTGTGCCAAGTGAGCAGGAAAAGGCGTATTTGATTGAAGGAGGTCCCAGCAGGTTCAATACATGCCTCAGCAGCCCTTTCCTACTGAACCCCAATTGCAGAACTGTAATAGGTTTTTGTGCTCCAATCACTACGCATGCCACGCAAGTATGTCCAAGATTACCATATCAAATTACTAAATCTTATCCTTAAAGCAAAATATATTGCTGACTGGGCTGTATGTTGCTTTTCATGTTTAAAGTTTAAAGTTAAATGTTTATTTTTTTCCGGCTCTCTTGAGCAATAAAATAATTAGTGATGTATGTCCATAGCTATAGATTGTGAAAGCAAGACTGTTAAACATACTGACAGTTAAATTCCATTTTTATAGTTAACAAATTAGCTAGTTTAGCACATATCAGCATAGCCCCAGTGTCCTAAAAATGACTATTAGGTAAAGTTTTTCTTTAAATGTAGAGCAAGGCATTAATTGTCCCATATTATATATTATCATACATGATAACTTGAAACATAAAAGCATAATATATCTACCTGATTCGAGTGAAGGCATAAAGTAAATAAGCAGCAGTATTTCCTTTATCATCAAGCATCTTATCAAAAGAGAAAATATAATCATTTATTCTGTGATGAGACAGGTCTGCATATTTAATGCAACCAAAGGCAACTGAGATCTGGGCTGCCTTTAATTCTTCTGGTGTAAGAACCTGTTAAGACAAACAAACCATTTTTTTTTCAAACAAATGAATGAGTTTATTTAATCACCATCAATGACCAGCAAGATAAAGACACAAAGGATGAACAAATACAAGAAAAGCAGTATATCAGTCATATACAACTATAAAGGCTTGAAAAGATTAGATAAAACATATCACTTTCAAAAACAGTCAAGTAGCATCAAATGACACCTTATAAATGAACAAACTTATATCATTTCCAGCTACTATTTGGAGACAGTTGCTGGAAGATTGCAGTCTCCAAGTTTCCAACACACAGTTTAGCTCAACTCTACAAGTGGCTTTAAAAAATTCCCTAAAACAATTGAATGATGTTGGCATAAGCTCTATTTATATATGCAAAAAACTTGGTCACCAATGAAAGTTAAATTATCATTCTACTTGGGGTAAGGTACAAAAGCATTTCTTAGCAGTGAAACATCCCCCCCCCCCAAAAAAAAAATCAATATAAAAGTGGTCCTATCCTATCCTTCATTCTATGGTGTTCTGCCATCTGCTGAAAAGCCAAGATAATACAACAATATACAGACCAGAGCAAAAATTAATCTCTGAATGTATGAATTCCCAGAGAATATCTTGGTAGATCTTGTCTCTATTCCCTACCCATTTAAACATCAATGATAGCTTTAAGCATTATGAAACAGTACCCAAGATGGAACATCTTAGTACAATGTTCATTGTTAACAAAAAAAAAAAAAAATACAATTAGCAAAACAAAATTCCAGTAAATTTAAACAAAATAAAATACAAAGTGTAGGGCATGCTGCATAAAGGCAAAATTACTATGTTGGATTCAAGAAAAAAAAAAGCAATCCATTACCTTATCTCTTTCTTTTTCCTTCAGTTTATCCATTGCTCTCTTCAGTCCCTCTTCAAGAAGATCAATCAGTCGTACTGTATCCCCACAACGTGTTTTGAACTTTTTTCTTATAGAAAGGATGAAAATTATTACTTTCCTGAAATGGTATCTCATTTAAATAAAAGTTATATTCCAAATGTAAATGTTCATGCTTTAACAGCATGAAGGTGACATCCCAAACAGACAACTCTTTGTATCCATGGTGACAGGTATTATATTAAAAAATGAATGGATTTTAAAGAATCTAAATTTTAATTTCAGTGTAAATACCCAGACTCAAACTAAGAGGATTAATTAAAGCTAAATTTTAGTTTGAACATGGGAATATTATAATTAATTTAGGGAGGGAGCACTTTTTTCAATTAATGTCACAAGTTGTCTTAATGGGGTATGCTAGGAATCAAACTCTCCCTGCACTCCTAAATAGATAAGCCTAATTATATGATGATGATAAGCATTAGTATTCTATTTTAGATGTAATAAAATGTCTTTTTTCCAGCAACTGGTTTAGCTGTTTCAAGCATGGTTTGGTAGTTTTCCAGAAGTTAGCAACAGCAGTAAGATGAGCACTTATATGCAGCTACATAGTGCTTTACAGCACTCTCTGAGAGATTTGCAAATGTCAGCAAATTGCCCCCAACAATCTGGGTCCTCATTTTACCGACCTCGGAAGGATGGAAGGCTGAGTCAACCTTAAGCTGGTCAGGATCGAACTCCTGCATTCTAATACTGCATTCTAATGACTGTGCCACAATGGCTCCAAGTTAATCGTGTGAAAGAAATTACTGATGCTTCAGACAAAACAAGCTTGTTTTAGGCCAGGATCAGTATGGTCTAGAGAAATGGAATCTTCAGAAGTGTTCCATTCATCCTCTGGACCACACAGATCTTGATCCAAAGCCTTCTGGAGTGTTCCATTCCTCAAACAGTAGGTTTCATTGATTCTATACTCTATACTCTGGTTTCTCTTCAGATCGTATAAATCTTTTGCCTTTACACAGCTATTCTTAATAGCTTATATATACAGTAAATTCAATTATAGCTCAAAGTAAAGCTGCAGAATGTACAACCAAACATCATTCTAATCATCCTGCAAGAATAATATGCTTAAAAAATCAAGGCAAAATACATGTCACAACTGAATTGATGCTAGAACTATTCAGAATTTTTTTTAAAAAAAGTCTTATACAGAGTCAGACTATTCATCCATCTAGATTCTAGATTGATACTGGCCTCATTTCAGGCAGAAGCTCAGAAAAAGGAGCAGCTTCAAAAGCATCCAATTAAAAAAACTGAATATTTGATATAAACAGTTTATTTCCTTAAAACTGCCTGAATATTGCATGGTCCAAATCAATAAGAGTTTTTTTTCGCTATTAATCTTCCTTAAATAAGGATATCAATTCCTCCAGTGAGATTAACAATAGAATCTAGCTTAAGGCATACTGAAGAAGAGTTGAGTAGTTAAAGCAATAGGCTAGAAACAATTAAATTCTGAGTTCTAATCCTGCTTAGATGTGACGTTAGCTGGGTGATCTCAGTTATTCTATATCAGACAGAAGAAACTAATGGTAAAGCACTTCTGAAATTGCTGGCAAGAAAATTGTAAGGATTTGATCCAGATAGTCACTAACAGTCAAGACAGACTCAAGGGACATACACATTCCCATACACTTCCCACCTCTCCAACAAAAATAGAAAATACTTTGTACACTTACTTGTCTTCTCCCAATACCACTCCAAAAGGAGCATGAATTACTTTGGTCACTTTGGGGTCATACCAGCCAATCATCTGAGCTGCTGCAAATATTGTTTGTAAGTGAACAGACTGCAAAACAAAACAGGATTAAAGTACCAATTGTTAATTATGATGTCTAAAAATGTTTCTAATAAAATGTGCCTTGTTTCAGAGAAGGCAATGGGAGCAACTGTCCTGAGAACCAAGGAAGGAATCGGCCTCCCAGTAGGATTCAATACTCAAAATGATTAGATTCTTTTTGTTCAGGATATTAAAAATATATTAGAATATTAATTAGTTAAGCATAAATAACTGATTGTATTTTGTGTTTCTTCATACATTTATGTTTAATGGGCTGTCAATGGGTAAAAATAACAGACAAAAATGTTACAGGAACTAATGAAATGGGAGGGAGAATTAAATGAACAGTATATCTAGATCTGCTTTGGATCACATCAGTGTCTACAAGCAAAACATTTTACAAAACAGAAAAAACACAGGTTAGAGAAGCTCACCTGCCCACTATCTATCACATAAATTATATAATCAGCTTTTTCTTCGAAAATCCTCTGTTTTATTGCTGCCAAGTCTGATGTATCATATGTGAAACCCCCATCAGATTTCACAACTGTCAAAGGAACAGAACATCCTGGAATAAATACAACCTTCCGGCCATCATCCATTTGTAGAAACCCTAAAGATAAAAAATTCATTACTGGTAACCATGCAAAAACAGATGGAAAATTATATTAAAGTCTGGGAAGCAATTCCACTTTTTTATATATACACAAAAAATGTATAAATAAAAACCAGTTCAATGAAGATTTACAACAAAACTTGTCATAAAGCCATACTCCAAGCCAAGCAAACAGGCATAGATAATGGAGTCAAATGTTTAAAATTTCTACATCTGCCAATTCTAATGCAACTATGGTAATTATCTCTTGAGATGGGCTTAACTTCTGATTTTAGAGTTTGATTAAAGGAGGAAAAACAAAACATCCAGTTGCCTGAAATTTTAAAAAAGAATCAGCGGACAATGTAGCAAATGGTTTTGGACTCAATTTAACTCTCATTCTGTTCTCACATAAGGCTTTGTTCCAGATGTAATCAAGAACAATTTATCTGATTATATTCCCAAATGTAACATCTATTACTTTCTATCTTGAGTAGATTGATTTAATTCCTATGTTCCAGCAATCAGAAACCCATAGATCTTATTATTAATCATTCACAAAAGAATCACCCAGTATTAAATACTTCCAGATTATAAATTTAGCTTCCTAATACAACAAATACTGTTAGCTGAAGTCATATATCTAAAACATAGGAAGCAATGATATTGTTAGTTACTGGACTCAGAATTAAATGTAAAAAGAAGCAAAAAAAAATCCAACTTGTTTGGTTCAGAAAGAGATGAAACACAATGAAAGAATTATGGAGAACAACTACTACTAGTCTTCAGTATTTTACAGTGTGTAATTCAAAGGTAACTTTCTCACTGTATGTTGAATTTAGGTGGCCTAGATTAAAATATCTGGGGTTAATCATGCCATGGAGCTATAGATGGCCATCTTAATGGGTAAATGAAGGATTTAATTTTTAGTTAGTGAATACTTTTAAGAGATGGAATGGCAACAATTGGAAATTGTTAGAAACTAGCAACACTTCAAATAGATAAGGACATATTGTACATAGAAGATTCTCATCTCAACATTGTGCCCCAAACAACATTGGCTTATCATGCATGGGAGATATTTACATCTAATATGGACATTTATTAACAACTAGGATAACAAAAAAAACCAATCAGAGGTCAAAGATCCTGCCCAATTTTACTGTCAGCAAGCTGCAATCTAATGCTTTCTTTCCAGACCAGAGGATACAAAACAGTAATCTCTGTATTTGGAAGCTGCCCAACCGAGGAGTAAACTGGGAATAACATAAAATAGAAAAAACATCTTATCAAAGAATAGCTATCTCAGAAATTGACTAATCAAGAAAGAGTCTCTATATAATCACTCATGCATTAACCCATTTTTTTACTTGTCTGAACTTCTCTTTATACTAGCTATCCAAAATGTGCATATACAAACATTTTCTTTTGCTTTTTGTATCATTGAAATTACATAAGGCTATAAAAATATTGCAAACAATATTGCATGGTATTTGGTGTCATCCTGATATTTGGCTTGTCACAATTTCTCTCTGAAAAGATGCTACAAAGCAAATTTGATAATCTTATCCTGTGTCAGGTAAAATCAGTGAAATAAAGTTGTATATTACTTCTCTAAATTCATGACAAATGAAAGAAAAATAAAGTAATTTTGAATTTCAGGCTAATGGTACCTAGTTAGGTTTACTGATTAGGTATAATAAAACATTTTAATAAAAGCAAACTTTCCTGAAGGTCTGAAACATACATTAAATGGATTATAATTTTAAACATATGTCAGCTATTTAACTTCCAATACAGATGTGTTACCTCGTTCTTCAAGCTCCTTTACAATTTCATGCATCCTATCTTGATAGTATGATTCTCCTCTGTCTATGATGGAAACATCCAAGCAGTCATAGATCTTTTGGAATTCTGATCAAGAGGAGGAAAAAAAAAATCTAAGCACACAGAAGTGAAGAATTTGAAATACTTAAGTTGAAAATCTAGTGATTAGAATAGTACAACAGCAAATTATATGGAAAAGAAGCAATGTTAAAAAGTTGGGTTCATCTTGAAATTCACTAAGGCCTTTGTCATCAGTTTAAAACACAGTAATAATTAAAGTGGTATCCTCTCCTCTCATAGGTAATTCTAACTCTACCTGGATAGCTGAGAATCTTCATTGACATATAGAATAATATTAAGCACTCAGAAAAGGTAAGCAAGAGAAAAACTGAAAATTTCACACACTTGATTGAGAGCTTCCTACAAATAAAATTGTATAATAAAAAAGAAACTAGGCCTTAAAATCAACTATAATCTTCCCTATGCAAACCGTTGTTGAAAAACAGTGGACAGAAATCTGTTTCAGGACATTCTTTATTGAGGTGACTCCCTCCCTTTTTTCCTTCATGCTGTCATATGTTAGTAGTTAGAAGACCCAAAACACTGGAAAGTTTGGTATTATAGACTGGATCTTGGTCTCATAGAAGAGCAACTTTATATCCACCTCTCAAAATTTTCCACCATAAATGGTACATTCAAAATTCTTTTGCTTCAGCAGTGCTCTACAAAAATAATTTCAAGTCACAACTGTTTTAAAAAAGTTTTTTTCTAAGAAAATGCTCAAAAGGAGTCAAGATAAACCCATCAAAATTTCAAAAATCACCTTTTCGGGATACATCACAGATGAGGTTCCAAGCTTTAATGATGTCTGGACTTTTGCTCTGCAGTAGGACCACACAGTGGTATGCACGCTTCTTAAACTCTTCCTCAGTGTCAAACCTTCTTTTTGATTCCTTGGTTAAGAATATAAAGATGCTGTGATGTGCATTAAATGGAATCCAATCAAAGTATTAATAGCAGCATTAATGTTTAGAGTAGATAAAAAGAGCAACATTAATTAAATTTCAAATTAATAAACATAACTATCTCAATTGCAATTTCAGCTATTTTAACTGTTTGATCTTTTCATCATGTTTTAACAAATGCAGAAAGTAAGCACACTATAAGTTGCAGCTCTAATACTGAAGAGAAATTGGGAATCCTCACTCACATATGAGTTTACTGTATGTGAATTTGAGTATTCATGGGAAATTTTCTGTGCTATTAATCTGCATAATCTTCAATTGCTGACATGATAGTTCTTCTATAAAGAAGTGGAGAATAAAAATCTGCTCTCACTGGAATTAAAATCACACATCCCATGCTTAGAAATGGAGAAGTGCAGATTTTTAAGCAATCTAAATGCATATAATTTTAAAAAGAGTTGAGTTACTGTCTGAAAATATCTGCAGCCTTACAGACATTGTCTTCTTAAACTCCTTGCCCAATCATTACTTTTGTTTGGGTAATGTGTAGCAAAATCCTGTATGTTCAGGGACAGTTCCTTCAGAAGTGGAAAGAACACACTCGCTTTTAACTCTGGTAGTAACGCCATCATGCAAGGATACAATCATATGTCTCTGGATTCATTCCATCAATACCTCTTTGGCAGAAAAATGTTTATGTAGTCTGGATGGTCATAAACATATATCCTATTGATCTAAGGAGATTTTAGTCTAGTATCCCATCCTGTTGCCTCCTGTAATCCCCAGAAATAGGCTGTCAATGGCATTAACTATTATTTGACTGATTTTTTCCCCCATTCTTTAACATTACATATGCAGATGATGACTGTATCTGCAGTTTCTCCTACTGGATTGAACTGATTCAACTTTAAACATACTATTTTCCCTCTAATTAAGAATAACAGTTAGTAAAAGCTCTGAATAAATGTTGGAAATATTACTTGCTGCAATAATGATTCTTTCTCATGTAATCATCTGTACTGACCTCTTTCAATTTAAGAAGATTCTAACAAAAAAAACTATATTAAGAAATAATGAAAATGAAAAACAAACATACTGTTTCAATACTGTGCAAAACATCAAGCATTTTCTAAACAATTATAATAACAGGAACAAATATTGTGGATACAATACCTTATAAAAAGCTTGGAGATCTCCTATGGGTGGAGAAACAGTTAGGTAATCTGGAAATTTATCTTGCAGATGAGCAATAAGCATCCCAAACTGGGTGCCCCAATCTCCTAAATGATTCAATCTGGATAACAAGAAAAATAAACAAAGTGTAAAGTACAGGTAATCTTTACATTGGAAAACACTATTTCAGTTAATCTAACTGAAATGGTTCATCTAGAGTTCTGTGGTGTTTGGGGCTAAAAATACTGTGCCAGATAAGTAACTACAATAGTATTTCCAGTGGGCTTATTCCTTAATTAACATAGTTGACTACAAGTCAGGGGAGTTCTTACATTTCTTTGATACATTTGTGTCATACAAATTATTGAAAATAAAGTGTGGCTACTTCACAGAAAGAGAAGCACTATATCTCTAAATACGTTATGAGCATGCCCATAAATAAACATGACATACCTTAGAACATCATGTCCCATGAATTCAAAAAGACGGCATATGCTGTCCCCAATTATAGTTGACCTCAGATGTCCAACATGCATCTCTTTTGCAATATTTGGGGAAGAGAAATCAATCACCACCTTTTCATATGGAATGAAGAATGAAAAGGGGAGAATGTTAGGAATGTAAGTCACCTAACAGTTGGGTTGGAAAAAATATAAACCAGGATAGACATTTTAATACTGTCTCTTTAAGGGAATGCTGAAATTGTAATTGGGTATGGTTTCTCAGCCATAAGATGGAGCCAGAAAACTGGGTTGTTCTGTTCTGTTGTTGCTGAGAGTGTTGCTGTTCCTGCATTTCCCTATTGACTGTTGCTGATCGTCGTTATTCTTGGATTTGATGTGAGTCTTTTACTGAACTGTTTTTTGATACTGGACTTTGTTATTTGGATTATCCCTGGACTGAAAACTGACTGCTTTAACCGTGAATCACTTGGACTGTTCGTTGAACTTTGCTTAACCGTTTACTGGAAGTAAAAACCTACATTTTATTATACAGTGTATCTGTCTGCTGGTTGTGTGCTATTCTTCACTAATTTCACTACGTCTCCCTGTGTGCTCTCATTCTCCTAATGGTGAATTACCTCAACAAATATGAACATAATTGTATACTGCTCTACATGTTTACTACATACAGAAGATATATCTATATCTATGTATCTACATACACGCACACAAACACACATTCCATTATCTGTGGAGTCCATGTATGCACTAACCAGACAACACATACAACTTGTTTGGTGTAGTGGTTAAGATGCTGGCCTAGAAACCAGGAGACTGTGAGTCCTAGCCCTGCCTTGGGCATAAAAGCTGGCTGAGTGACATCAAATCATCAAATCATCATCTCTCACACCAATTTCTTCACAGGGTTGTCCATGTGAGGAAAATGGGAGAAGAGAGTTTATGTATGTTTGCCACCTTATCTATAAAAAAGGTGGGATAAAAATCAAATAAACGAAATACATACTGTATGTTCAGGTTCTATATAAATTATGTGTTTTGTACAAATGTTCCTTTGAAAAGAAAATAACACAATTTTATATTTAAAAGGACAGAATTTTTGGAAGCTTGTATTTTTAATCTGGATCAAAATCTAAAGGTCATAGATATTCTTCTATGCTTATAAGCATGAGCTGATTTTTCTGTCACTAGCTCTCTTTCCTGGAATACTATGAAAGACCTGTTTCATTGTTATGAAAGTGTTTGTACAGAGGCTCAAATAAAACAACATATTTAAAAAAAAACATTCAATTTTGGCAAAGCCAAAATGAACTTACTGGACAAGATAAGATATCAACAGCCATTTATAGTTCACCTTTTTTCTTTCACAAGCGGGTGGTTGAACTCCATTCATTAGCACACTGCTCAGCTGTCTCGATACAAAATCTTTCTTCAAGTGTACATTGATGAAACCTTTAGAGTCATCAAAATTAAAATGGTCATTAAGAATATATCCACATCTATTTTCTTTACAAATGAAATATTTCGCAGCAGATTAGCACAACATTTGTAGACAATGCAGCAGATTAGTATAATATTTGTAATCACAATATAAATCTTTAGTTCAAGACAAATGAAAGTATGCCAAAAAAACTATGCATACTTATACCAAATAGATACACTCCTCTATTAACAGACTTACTCAATAATTAGTTATGGGGAGAGAGAAGCATGTTCAGCAAGTGCCAAAACATGATACTGTTAACTTAATTTTATTATAATATACATTGCTAGCAAATTCTGTTTCTACTTATATTAAAGATAGAGTAACTGTACCAGGTCCAGCAATTTCAATTTTCTCAATGCAATCATTGTTTGGAATATTTCTGGCAATCTTGTCAGCAATATCCCTTGGGCTTACTTTTTGTTCCTTAGTCTTGAGCAGTATCTGAAAATAAGGAGTCAGAGTAATTGCTTATTGACTGGAAACACAGCCAGGCACACAATACCATGGTCAACATCCTACAGACCCAACATTTAACCTGCTTTGACAAAGATAATAGGTACTCTTATTTTATAAAAAAACCTGTTTGGAATCCACAAGTTAAAAAATGCTCCAAACATCCAAGGAAACAGAGTCATTTATACATACTTTCAGGAATCTGAAACTGAGGATACCAAATAGCTGTGATTCTATTTTGATATATCTAAACCAGATCAGTTCAGCTTCCATTTCATGGTCACATTTCCAAAACTTTGTGTGTTATTATAGTTAACTATGGGACATTTAAAAAAAGGAAATTGCTACTATTTAGGCCAAGAGCTAAATCTGTAGTTGATCCCAAAATTCTGATTCTACACTTTCATTTTTGGACTGTTCCCTTTTAACAAATTAACTCTTTAGATTACTTCATACGCGTTGACTGGTTCTTCAAAATATACTGTGAAGTACATCTATGTATTTGGTGATTAATTATTAAGGTAGAAAGAATGATCAGAATCATGTTTGTCCTTCCACTTACTAGAACGCTATATTGTGAATGAAAGTCAACCGAGGGGTTCAGAAAAAAATCACACTTGATGATAGACCATTACAAAAGTTGTATCCATATGGGTGAATATATTAGGAATATATAAGCATCCCAGCTAGTGAGATGCAAACAAGAGCATGTTGGCTTGTAAGACCTAGATTGTACTTGTGGCACATTGTGGCTAAAATGGTTGATTATTGTACCTTTAGGATTAGTAGGGAAACTGCACATGGAATAGCTATAATGGAGAGTGATAATCTAATGTGTTCTTTCTTATTTTTACTAAAAATAATTCCATGTAAGCTTTCGTTGACCAAAACTGGTATCTATAGATCCAAATCGTAAATGGTAAAGGACATGGAAATAAATAATAAAGATGAATTAAATGAAGGAAATAAAAGTATCCTTCACTACTTATATTATTCTTTCACCATAAGTGGTAAAATCATATCCTTTGCACACAATCACACGAACAGGCTTCTGCTTATACCACATATAAGTGATACCATATCAAACTTGCAAACTGTTCAGCTTCCTCTTTCTGCTATGTATTAATGATGGGCAGTGATTAATATTTATATGTACTTATATGTTAGGGTGTAGGTATATATATATATATATATATATATATATTATGTATGTGTACACTTTTGAGAATAGAAAACAGAATTTCATTTTTAGTTTGCCAGTGTGCCCACAGAAAAAAATGATAATAAAGGTCATCTTATTATTTATTTCTGAGAAAGATATGCATTGAAAAATATGCATTGAAAAATAACAAATTCCCTTATTTTTGGATCTCTAAATGACCCACTATTCCTATATTCTGCCATTTTGTTCGGAGTAGCTTTTCTCCTAATTATATGAATTTAGAATACATTTTCCTGAACTCATCTCTAAATTCATTATCACCATTTGAGTGTTGATATGCAACTATCTCCAAACATCTTCTTTTACATGACATAAAAATCTTAGATAAAGCTTTATGTTATATGAGAAAATGACTGAGAAAACATCTACAGACCCCTCACATCCTGGACATAAACTGTTTCAACTTCACCCCTCAGGACACCGCTATAGGCCATTGCATGTCAAAACAACTAGACACAAAGACAGCTTTCTCCCATGCCATCACTCTGCTAAAGACAAGTCCCACACCACTGTCTTATATACCTAAAGATGTAGAAGGGCTATACTGCTACCATCTTCGCACCTTCCTCATCTTTCCTACCTTTTCGTATCAGTATCTTATGACTTATCCTTTTTGTTTGTATCTTATAATTTATGATTGTAACTATGATTTATGATCTATGACTTATCACTTTGTTGTTTTTGTATACACTGACAGCTTATTGACCAGAGACAAGTTCCTTGGGTGGCCAATAACACTTGGCCAATAAAGAATATTCTATTCCTTCTCTGTTCTATGTGTATTTTCTTATATATATGTTTAGGCCCTTGCATTCATAATTAAACCTAAATCTTCACTTTCCTGCATATATCTAACAAGACTGGACTACTTTCACCCAAATCTATTATACCTTTCATTTTTCTCCACTTTCATAGACATATTTCTTTTCATTCATGCAACCATGCATGTTCTTCATCATTTATTCTTCTTGCATTTCAAGATGCAACCTCTCATATTATTTCAAAGAATAAAAGAGGTGAGTATGAATAATAAGAGAGAGATGTGATCTCATTGGTTGTGTAACTGTGGATTTACAATGTATGCTTGTGGTGTGATGCTGGTAAGTAATGTGAGTATGCGTGTACTTTTGTATGCTGACAAAGCTATATTGGTCAAGAAGCTGAGTTGTTTTCAGCAAATTTGAACATATTTTTGTGTTGCAAGGACAAGCATGGATACAAAAATTAATTTTTCAAAGATCACTGTTTGTGGTGATCAAATCCCAAACAAAATAATGAACAAAAAGTTAATGGGATTAAAAAAAGGAAATACTAACAAGAGAAATTTGAAATACTAAGAAAATAGTAATGACTGGATGGCATTTATGACATTCTAAAAGAGATGAGAAGTTAAAAGAACAAAATAATTTGATATATGGGAGTCTGAAGGCAAGCATGATTTGCAAGGGTCTTTGCCTTATAGTGGGTGATCTTTGTGTAAACTTCATTTACTTATGTTTCTTTTTTCTTTCTTGTGTCTTAATTTCTTTGGTTTACTGCTCTTTATATTTTTTCCTGCCTTTTTGCCTAATATTATTTACTCCCAAAAGCAATAGCACAAATTATACATATACGTGTGAAAATTTATATTGCTATTTATTGCATTCAAATGTATATGTTTAACAATTTTCAGACCAAGAATGGAAGGGGTAAAAGCAATAGATTATTTAGAAACATATTATATAAATAAATCATCCATATAAATCCTCTTATAGAAGTCATACCCACATTTATTTGGAACAATAAATATGATCTAACTCGATTCCCAGAAAGATGTGTTGCACATCTTTGCTGACCTTTCACTATAACATTTAAAACTTTTGGCCTAAAAGCCTCTCCTAATTTTTATTAATGCTACTTTTATTTTTTTTAAATTGTTAAATTGCTAATCTTGTCCTTTGTCGCTTCTGCTTTCCTTTCAGTATGTATTATTACTAAGTTATCTGCTTTAAAGTGCACACATAAAAAAGATGTAGGAAGAGTTAAAATAAATACAGCAAACAGCTTGACAGTTTCCACTGAAATATTTATTTCTTGGCTATGTAATCACCAAACCAAATTTTGAGAAGTCCTGAAGTCCAAAATAATATCACTAAACCATGCTATTCACGTGACTACACTTTTTCAAGTTATTGTCCCAATTCAAAGGCTTAATAATATATGGCAGGTCTACGGAAAAAGAACTGTCTAATAAAAGCAGATCAATTGTCTAATTGGACACTCAAATTACAGCATGGTAGTAGGTCGTGATAATCTTATCTGTTTGAGATGCAGCAGTAAAGATCTATGAAAAGTACACATACTATCAATTACCTGAGATATGCTCATAGCACTGTTACACTGGTAATCACCAAACCTGGACTGTTGACTTGGTGTTACTGCCAATGGTGGGTTTTCTAAATCAGGATATGCAGCTTTGATAGCTGCCTTAAAAATTTCTTGAATCCTGTGATTGATATTAATCATGCCTTTGAATGATTTTTCTCTATGTCTTTCCTCCTGGAGGCTCTAAATAGGAATACAAAATAAAATTACTTAATAATTAATTCAAACAGATAAGAATACATCATTACATGGAGCTAAGAATTCAAAATGCAATTTCAAATTATAAACATAACAAGAAAGTCATATTTATTCATTTCCCATCTTTTCAAATTAGAATTCCACAAATGGTTTAAATTAGATGGTCATGTACACACATATTTATGTTTCTGAATTACAACAAATGAAAAAGTTCCATTGTTACATGATGTGTCACACCTCACAGAAACAATCCTGATAGGTTTGAATGCTTTGTCCCTATCTGGTTCTATCCATTTGTGTGTGTATGTGGAGGACTTTTATTTGGGAAAACCCTTACACTGTGAATAGCAACATAGTGGATAGACTACCTACATACCCCTGTTAAAACACCAGGTTTTCAGATGTAAAAAAATCAGACCAAGATAAATAACTTCAAATTTTTCCATCTTTAATCTAGCATATAAACTGTACAATTCAATTTAAAAACCAGAAATCCTGGGGGTGGGGGAAATAACAAAAAAACCCATAGAATAATGTGGTTACATAACTGTGTATAGGCTCTTAGGGCGGCGATGTTCAGAATTAACCAATCACATTCAAAATAGTCAGGACACACTTAACATCAATTGAAGTGACTCTGATCAAGCATATATAAAATTCAGCTGTTCCATTAGGATTTTTACTCAGTTGCCTCTTATAGCAAAAGCCATGGTCTGCAAAGAGCTTAGAAAGTATCTAAAGGATCTCACTGCTGGAAGGTATCAGTCAGAAGGGTAGAAAAAATTTCCAAGCATTGTACCATGGAACACAATGAGCACATTCATAACTTAAAGGGGAAAACATATGGCATAAGAATGACATAATCAAGAACTGGATGCCTCTCCAATGTATTATGATCTAATGAGACCAAGTTTGAACTTTTTGCCATAATTCCAAAAAGTATTTTTAGCACAAAAACAACACTGCACATCACCAAACGTAGTCTACCACAACAAAACATAGAGGTGGCAGTATCATGCTCTGGGGCTGCTTTTCTTCAGCTGGAACTAGAGCTTTAGTCATGGTGGAAAGAATTATGAACAGTTCCAAATATCGATCAATTTTGGTGCAACATTTTCAGGCCTCTGCTAAAAGGCTGAAGATGAAGAGGAATTTCGCCTATAATGACCCAAAACATACCTCCAAATCAGCAAAAGAATGGCTTCACCAGAAGATGATCAGTTTTGAAATGGCCCAATAAGTATCAGTTTAAAGGTGTGCATCTTTATGCGACACATTATAATAGTTTTATTGTTATTTTTCCCCTAAAAGCTTTCAGTTTTGTTTTCCAATTGAATTGCACAGCTTACATGTTATATGAAAGGTAAAAAAAATTTGAAGTGAGCTTACATGTTATATGAAAGGTAAAAAAAATTTGAAGTGATTTATTTTGGTCTGATTTTTTACATCTCAAAAATCTGGCATTTTAACAGGGGTGTGTAGGTTTTTTATATACCGAGAGAAAATTGCTTGTAGTTATTTTCCACTGTAATTCTTCTCCCACAACCTTTCTGCTTTCATTTTCTTGCTTTGGATATGGTGTTTAATTTTGTACCAATCTAATTAACCCTTTCTTAACTTTAAACAAACAAAAAAAAAACAACTCAGATAATTTTCTATATTATTGCTGTGCACTAACCATTTCTGGATGTAATGTCTTCTATTTTGAAATTATTCAGCTTTGACACAGTGGTCCTTTTTGTTTTGGAAACCTATCCAGCAGTTTAAAAGCATACATGCACATGATTTTCATAAAAATGATTCTTTCAGATCTGTAGAAAAGTCTATGTTCCTTATTCACAATGTTTGTGCTGTCCAAAAACTTCAAAATCATACCTTTTGTAGGATATTTAAGCGATATTTTAATTTTGCATTTTCTTCCCGCAATTCTTCCAAGGTTGGTGAAGCTCCCAAGCATCCGTAGTTTTTCAAATGATCTATTTCTGCAGTCAAAAACTTGATTTCTCTTTCCTAAAAAGCAACAATGATTTTTTTTGAATATTACAGTTTATTTCCTCAATTAAATAAGTGTACCATTCTTATTTCTTCACCATATATAGAACGTTATATACCTTAGGAAAACATATATAGTAAATTAACATTGCTCATTTCAGTCATCTATTAATCTGTATCTTTTTTCAACCTCATGTCTTAAGTATCAATCTAATACCAAGCCTACTGAAGGAATAAATAGCTTTTGGAATAGGTTTCTGCTATTAAAACACGTGCAATTTTTAATCAAGCTTTCATGTCATGAATTATGGAAATAACTAATCTTTTCCCTTATTCATCAGTAAAAATTATTATAAGAATAGATGAGTGCACTGATATGTTTAAAAGAATAAGTACAATGACCACATGGCAAAGAAAGAAGCTGCTAACGATTGTCACTTTTATGTGAAAAGTTCACTGTGAGAAATGTCATGTTTACTCATTTAATTTTTATAGGTTTTATTTTATTCATTAAATGTATATACTGCTATCCATCTCGCTATTTTTCAGTCTTGATAGGAATTATTTTGGCTTCCTTGGAGATTGCTGGAAAGGTAGGCATTTATTTGCAATATTTTATTGCTTTAATATAAAAAGAAAACTGAAGAAAAACAGGAAAGGGGGAAAACATTTCATTATAGAGAAAAATCATGCAATTCAGTTTATGATAGCCAAGTGCAGAATTATTTAACTTCTGACATTCGTTCCTTTGCTGTCAGGATATGTCAATCTTGCCATAGTTTGGGAAAAAGTAAGGATAAATTGATAGGTGTATAATAACACATTCAATTTTTACCATACATCTTTTCATCAAACAACTAAATTTGTTCCATAAAAGAACTAACTTAATTGATGTTTTGGGTGGTAAATAGATAGTCCTCAAATTAAGACCATAATTGAGCCCAAAATTTATGTTGCTAAGTGAGAAATTTGTTAAGTGAGTTTTGCCTCATTTTACAACTTTTCTTGCCACATTTGCTAAGTGAATCACTGCAGCTATTAAATTAGTAACAGGGTTGTTAAGGGAATCTGGTTTCCCCATTGACTGCTTGTCACAAAGTCCCAAAAGGAGACCACATGACTATGGGACACTGCAACCTTCATAAATGTGAGTCAGTTGTCAATGTAAAACACATGACCATGAGGTTGCTGTAATGGTCATAAGTGTGAAAAATGGTCATAAGTCACTTTTTTCAGTGCCGCTGTAACTTTGAACAGTCACGAAGTGAACTGTTTGTAAGTCGAGGACTAGTGACCAGCAGAATTCACATGCAAATGGCGGTTATTGGCACTAAATGGCACTATTACGTTATGTACATGCACCCTTTATTTGAAGAAAATAAAAACGAAAATACAGAAAGACGTCTAACAAACGAGAGGAGGGATAGAAAGAGAAAGAGGTGAGGCAGCAGTTAACCAGCTTTTATAAGTTCTTCTTCCCTAGACCTGCCATATATTATTCCTTTTTGCCGATCAATTGGCCACTGACAAAGTATACAAAATTTAAAACAGTTCTAACTGAAGCCTGTCTTCGCTATGCCGTCTCTCCTTCTCTCGCCTGGCACAACGGAGTCGAGCGGAGAACAAAGGTTGCGCTCCACTCCCTGCTCAACCTTCTGCTTTAGGAAATTCGTCTCATGGCCCCGCTTTAAGCCCGGCCAAAGATATAGAAATACAGTCCCAGGAGACAAAAGGAGAAAAGCCTCCTGAGGCTTTCGCGCGCAAGGTCCAAGCATTGCCACGCGTCCGCAGCGGAAGCCCAGCCGGCTGAGAGAAAAAGAGGCTCTCCGGCGCCTCTTCCCGGCTGCCTCTTGCTCCAAGCTTGCCCCTTTGTTTTCTCCCAAAACCGCGCCCGACCCACCCGGGGGAGCCTCTGACCTGGCGCTGCAGCCGCTCTACCCACTCCGCCGCTTGCATTGCCATTCTCACGAACCACAAGCTAGCCGGAACCGGAACTTACCATTGACACCAAGGCGAGAAAGAAAGAGAGAGAAATAGAGGACCCGAGGAAGGAAGCGCATCGCAGCTCCCTCCAGCGCCCCCTATTGAGTCGCTTCGGAACGTTTTTTTTTTTTTTTTTGCCGTTGCTTTTCTTTTAAAGGCTTCTTGGCCGCCTGGCGCCAAGGACGAGAATATTGGAGTTAAAAGAAAAAGAAAAAAAAAGACCTAGACTGTAAGTTAATTACGGGGAAAGTGTAATGCACGAGAAAAAACGATTGTCTAGGAAGCGTGCGAAACAACTTTAGCCTTGCAGGAAACAATGGCCAGGGCGATTCAAGAGACTCGCACCTGTCCGGCGTCTACCGCTTGAGGTAGTCTGTTTACTCTCATGGTAGAGTACAATAGACTAGAATAATAACTTTGTCACTTTGAATGTACACTGAGGTGACCGACTTTTTTTACAATGGGAACACAAATAAATTGAAGAGAAAAAAAAAGCCACTTGCGCGTGCCGCACTCTCAAAACAATTCTCCTATGCGGAGCGCATGCGTCTCATAATCGCATCTCACTGCACTGTACCGAGTCTTGACGAATCGTCATGTCAAATACAAATACGTCACATCGCACACAACGGATTGGATCTGCATCAATCAAATATGGAGATTTACAGATTAGTCTTCAAATATCAAAAAGACATGTAGGAGGACACTTTTTGAGAGAGGACAGAACTTGCAAAAGAAGGACTGTCCTTCCTAAAGGAGGGCGATTGGTCACCTTAATGTACACTAATTGGCATACATTAAAATTTCATTGCATACAACTCTCAGAGAGTCACCGCCTCCCCTATACACTATAATAACCGTGACAGAATGAATGAATGAATACAAAATTATATATAAACCCAGATATATGACAACAGAGAAACAACATGGTTCGGATGTATACATCTACATGGTGAGAAAAACAAATCTTGCCAGATTGCCAGATAGATGGCATAGGGAACAAAGCTGTTACAGAATCTGGTAGTCCTGCTATAAATACTTCAAAACCTCCTCCCAGAGGGGAGCAGCAGAAACAGACCATGAAGTGGGTGTGGGGTCTCCATCAATGTTTTGAGCTCTAAGCACATAGTGCTTATAAGCAGTATCCTGAATAACAGGAAGCATACTTTCTATAATCTCGGCTGTCCTTACCACTCTCTGTATGGACTCTTTATCTGAAGCACTGCTGCTACCAAATCAGTGATGCAGTTTGTTAAAACGCTCTCAATTGTGCTTCTGTAAAAAGTGGCCAGGAGAAAAGGAGAGTCAAACATTTACTGCTCTAACCATCTCAAGAGCATTCTCAAAGCACAATGCAATTGCAACGAGAGAAAATGAGACATTTTTAATGACAGTTTTTCTAACTAGGTTCCGAACAGGGAATAGAAAAGGACCTACTTATGAGTTTGTACCTACTGGAATCCTTGCACTGCAATTTTTGAGGAGCTGGTAGGGGGAGAGATACCATAAGGAAATGTGTAAGGAATTTGTGTATCTTTTCACAATGCTGGTGGGTGGCACATAGAAAATAAAAGTGATGTTTGAGTGCTTTGTGCCATTTGTCCACCTCCATAACATACCACTGAAATTCCAGATGTCCGCTCGCTTTCAAAAAATGTATACTCATTTTTAGTGCAAGGGATTTGTCCCTGTTGCAGTAAGATATTTGAGAGAACTTTTGCAAAATGTGTAAGTATTGTAGACAATGCTATAGTCCTTCCCCAATCAGCATATTGTACACTGAAATATCATTTCAGAGCCATAAGCCAAGTCACCATACTAAAGCTATTATTTGAATGAGTTACATAGGGGACAGGTGATGTGAGGAACTGGGAAGCCAAGCAGTGGGCAAAGGGTCTTTTCTTACATAATGCTTCATTGTTGACTGTGGCAGAGCTTCAGATACAATTGAGGTGTAAGTAGTTGCAAAATTCGAGTTTGACCTTCTCCACCATTCCTGGAAAATTTTTTTTATTTTCCATTACCAGTTTGTTATTTTGTTAAAAATCTTGAAGATACACTGACACTTTCCCCAAACATATTTTCTCCATCACATGGAAACACTTAAAAATTCACAACACAGTATTGAGCAGTGTCTAGAAATTGCATTAGGACAATACATATAAGGATGATCTTGAATTAGTTTCATCAGTCTTCTTAAAGTCAATCTTTTTACATAATTGCTATGTTTCATGTCTTTTCTATTCACTTTTCCTCTGTTTTGATAAAATATCAGGCAAGCTTCTTTCATTATGCCTAAATTTGAACTGGGACTCAGTTTCCAAACAAATGTGTGCCATAATCCCGCTATCTGAACATGCTACCACTTACAAACAATGGTTTCATTTTAAAGTGAACTAGGGATAATTGTTTTGAAGTTTTGGGGTATTACCTGAAATTTAACACCGCGGAGACAGAGTATTGAAATATCCTTAACATTTTCACTGTATGAAAAAATACATTGACAGTCTCAACAGTTTGCCTTTTTATGTAAATGGGAGTTGTGAGAGAATTCTGAGAACAGATTAGATCAATCAGAAATTGCTAAATGCAACCGTTTTAGAGGCTAGGATGAAAGGGTGCTAAGGGATGGGTTTATCTGACCATTTGAACTACCATAGATGGGGTAGATAAATTCATTCTTCAGCTCATTAGTCTTGAAACCATACGGAAATCCAAGAATTTGCCTTAAAATTCTTTCTCTCTTGGAAAGTATACAGAATCAGGAAATTTCAAAAGAAACATATTACAATGCAGAAGGATGGACAATCCCCAGGATTACCTAAAAGTGCTAATCCAAGTACCCTTTTATCTGATTCAAAGAATAGAGATGTTCATTGATTGTATTTATAATTTATTGATTTACATCCTGGGTTTATTATTTTTACAAATAATTCAAGGTGGCAAACATATCTAAGACTTTCCTTCTCCTATTCTCTCAACAACAACCCTTGACATGGTTTGGGCTGAGTGACTTGCCCAAAGTCACCCAGCTGGCTTTCATAGTTAAGATAGGACTTGAATTCAGAGTCTTCTGCTTTCTAGCCTGGTGCTTTAACCGCTAGACTAGACCAAACTGGCTCTTTATTGATGATAATCTCCTCTAATAATTCAGTGCTCCTTTATTTGTAGATGAAGGCTGAACTGTGAAAGCTATTGTTCTCCTATTCATGTTTCAGTCCTTTTACTGATTCTGATTGGACACTGTTAACATAGAATGTTGAACTATGTTGGATCAGGACTCTTCTTCTTTTCAGATTTTTTTTAAAAGTGAAGTAATGTCTTCATTTGTTTTTAAGTCACCAAATTAATCTCCATTAATTAATCCAATAAAATATCTTTCTTCAGCCTGTCTTAACTTTCAATTCCCATAATCTTCCCCTTCCACCAAATGTGACTATTGTCAAGAATACTGAGAGTTAAAAGTCTGCATACCTAGATAGTTCTCAGGTCAGGGAAGGCTGCAAATATGCATTTGCAATATAAACCTCAGGCCAGAGGTGGTATTCAGCAGGTTCTAACCAGTTCTGGATAACTGGTAGCAGAAATTTTGAGTAGTTCAGAGAACCGGTAAATATTACCTCTGACTGGAGATTTTACAGTATCTTTCCCCTGCTATGCCCACCAAGCCACTCCCACAGAACCGGTAGTAAAAATATTGAATCCTACCACTGCCTCAGGCCGTTATCTTTTAAAGTTATGAAACTGTATTTTCTTTGCTTGTTTGTTTCAATCCATGTAGATCAATAAACTACTGAAATCCAGTAAGAGTGAGTTTGAAGAACGTTGAAGCTACTGGTGAAAAACAACTAAAGTTCTTAAATATGTGCAGAATAAACTCTCAATAAAAACAAGCCTATTTTTTTTAAAGAAAAACATTGTTCTTAATCACAGTTATTGACTTCCATCATTGCATGGATCTAAAAGAGATCCATTTTTATCTGTAACTTTGTATGAACATATATTTTGAATTATCGACATAGGCATACAAAAGACACAAAGATCACGTACGTTAATTTCTATCTATAACAATTTTAATGTTAATCCTAACAAAATTTAAAATATATAAATTCAATCATTTAGTGGTTGCTTATTCCAGTGTTTATATATGAAAATATATATATACATCTCAGGAAAAATTCAGTTTTAAACCACTTGTCAACTTTACTCCTGAAGGTGCATCTTGATTTGTGGACCTTTAAGGCCTTTATATTCCAGTGTCCATTACTCTCTGTTCTTAAATGTCAACAATTGGCTTAATGTAAGATGTGAGCTGTTGTAGGAAGATATGAAGATATTTCAGTTATATTCCAAAGAGAGCCAAACACCATATAGACCCTGGAATCTCACACATTATTTCTTTTCTCAAAGAAAACAATAACATTGGAATGTATTAACATTTCTTCAAATGCTATATGAAAAACAAAATAGATCTTGGATCTAGAGGAAGTGGATGGTTGTTAGCATAAGATGACTTCCCTATCCCATTCTCCAATAAATTATTGCCAAACGTCTCTTTCAGGGATTAAGATACTCTCCTAAAGCAAGTAGGCTATGATTTACAGGTCAGAAAAAGGGAAAAAATTGACAGAAGTATTTTCTACAGCTGAATTCTCATTCTTTTAAAACAATACCAGATTCTGCTTGAGAAGGAGAGGGTAGAACAGTCACTTTCTATCCTGCTGATGTTCTTCACATACTGGTTTTTTTCTCGATTGGAGTCAATAAAATTGATAATTAGCAACTAATTATTAAAAAATAAGACAATTGATTCTTTCATTATTTTCCCCTGAAGTGACTAGAAAAGGTATTATTTATTTTTTTATAAGGCCTTTATTATTTTTATAAATAACTCAAGACAGCAGATATATTTAATACTCCTTCCTCTTCCTATTTTTTCTACAACAGCAAGCCTATTATTTGGGCTGAGCAAGAGTGACTGACCCAAAGTCACCCGGGGGGCTTTCTTGCCTAAGGCAG